TGCCCCCCGCCCCTCCAGCCTGGCCTCCCTGCCGTGCCCGTGCCCACCCTGTACACCTCCTCCTCACCCTGCCACCTGGCAGGGAGAAAAAAGCAGCACGCAGCTCACTGCAGGTGCATTTTGCTGACTCTTCTGCTGCTGCAAACAAGGATGCAGCTTCTAGGATTAGCCGAGTGGAGAGCTGCGCTCAGCAGCCCCAGGACGGAGGAGATACTTTCTGCCCTGGGTGGAAGATGTGTCGTGTTGCTCTCCACTCACTCCTTTAGGCTGGTGCATGGGGAATTCATCAACTGTTTCTGGAAAAGTTGCATGTATCTTCCATCGCTGGAGGGACGCAGGGTGAGAAGTCTCCAAGGGAATAGGCAGCTAATGAAGAAATGTGGGTGACTAGTAAAATCAGTCTTTTGAAGCAAAGAACAGGAGGTAGAACAGCAAAACCAAAGAGGAAAAGAAGTCTGTGTTTTAACAAGAGCAGGAAGAAAGAAAAATTCAGAAGAGATTCAGAAAGGAATGTAAATCACCAAAAGCGAAGGTGAAAGAAAAAAGAACGTTCTAATGTAAAATGTGAGATGGGGTTGTCCTCTACTCTGTCTTGCCCACGACAATGTGTAGAGACTTGACTAGTAAACAAAGTCACCTAAAAAACCCTAGTTTTCTTAGCACCTTTCTTTTTGGTGTTGGTTTTTTCTTTATCAAAAGAAAGAGACAAACTGTATGGTAACGACAGGGGAGGAAGGTAGGTCTCGCCCTGCAACATCCAGTTCTGGCGTTACCCATGTAATACAATTTATTTTAATAGCTCTGCTTCCTTGCCTGATAGGAATGCATAAATAAGGCTATATTCAATAAAACATCCAGATGGCTCTGTTAGCACAGACTTCAGAAGATGCCCCGCGATCTGTTATTTTACTTATTCTGCCGGCTTCCCTCAAGCAAAAAGAATAGGCAGAGTTTACTGAATCGGGTCTTTAGTGTTGGGAGGGAAACGAGAGAAATTGTCACCCTTTAGTTGCCACAGAAATTCATTGTGTAATAGCTTGTGACAAGGAACAAATACTTTTCTTCAGGCCAAACTAAGCCTGCCTATATGATCAGATGCTAACACATCAACGAAAGGTAGGAAAGAAATGCAGTTATTCATCTAGCGAGATAGATAAAGATGTATAATTTCCACCTGACTCAAAGTACCATCTTTGGACTTCACTGGAGCTGCTCCAAGTCACATCTGCGTAGCTGGAACAGATGCGACCCGCGGAGCGGTAGCTCCTGCTGCCCAGCACTGACCAGGTTGCGTACGCCTTGTGCTCCCGAGGGGCCAGCCACCAGCTCCCGGTGGCTAGGCACTTCCAGGCCACTTGCCATTTCCAGAGGCAAGTGAGCCACTTTGCATGAGATACACGTGGCTACTCAGAGCTGTAGGTGCGACTCCCTCCCTCACAGACTCCTTAGTGCGAAACACGTGTTACTGCTTACTACACAGGGTAGAGACTGAGCTCTGACGGAGTATGAGCCACTACGAGCGCTTCCCTCTCCTGTAAAACTTCACAAAAGTCTCTCTTTGCTGTTCCTGGTGACATAGTCCTATGACCCTGCCTGGCAAATAAAGAAAGAATACATCTTTCACTAAAACTGTTGATAATGTGGTAAGAGCAGCACAGACTTATTATTGCTCACATGAATACTCCATAAAGCCCGGGCAGAATGAGGGAAAAGCTCCCACGGGAACAATTTAATGGAATGGAAATAAAGAATCACAGTGCAGGATCAGAAAGTGGTAACAGCATTTCAGAAACTGGAAAGAGATTGCAACTTATTAAACTACATATGGAGCTGGAGAATCTTAAGACCTGTGCAGAAGATCTGGGGTTGCCTTAAATGAGCTCTACTTGATTATTACAGCAAATCTTTATATATTTGCTAAAATACTTTTGTGGAGTGTCAGAGTAAGAAAGGAAGATACTTCCAGGTTGCACAGAAGTGGCTGGATTTTGCCCACTTTTAGTTTCTGGAAGGCAAGTAAGTTCTAGCTAAAGAATTCAAGAAAGAGATTAATTCTGTTTGGAAGAAATCTAAGTATCTGCTCATCCTTGATTTCATCAAATAAAGCTTCAAATTCAGAACAGGCATTCATAAAGAGTCTTAGCAGTTGTTTGATTCAGAGCCAGTCCAGCAGACGTGAGAAGTAAATACCCTGTGACAGTTGCTTAAAGGGTGAATCCCATGTGTATCATCCCAGTTTCTATGGTCGCAGGATCACATTGCTTATACACTCGGCCAAATATCAATGTCATTTACACTAGGATTACTGAGATGAGGATGGTGCTAGTAACACTTTTCTAGAGTACCCGCTGAAGTTTTCATACTCATACTTGATCTTTTCAGGCCAATCAAACAGCATAAATAAGCCTGATGCCTGCTTTTAACAGTGGCTGTATTGCAGTTCATTTTGTGCAAACGTAAAAAGTAAATGAACGGCAAGGGACAGAAAACAAGCCCTGTTACAAATCTTGTTTAGCCAAGGATCATTAGTGACACGCTTCTCATAGCTGGGTATGCCTGTGCAATACCACCCCACGGGGATGCATGCTGTGGGACACCTTTTTTGACTAGCTTGTTGCCTATCAGCCCTGCCCACAACCCAATGCTGACACCAGCACTCGCTTGCTCCCCATAATAAATGCCATTCCCACAAAAATTGAATTCAGAATAGTCCACGTGTGGAGGAAGGAGACAAATCATTTCTGTGATGACTCTGGCAGAAAGGGAGAATATCTTCTCTCTGAAAATGAGGACTGTTTCGCATCTGAGTGACACAAGCCTTTGGCAATTTTAAGTAGCCCTTTTTTCCACCATAAAGAACTTCAAAGCATCGTTTCCCTTCCAGAGGCCAAGACTGTAGTGTTAGGCCAGTCACCAGGCTGGGTGGCAACCGCAGCTGGCTCTGCGTGCAAGGCCACCTAACAAAACTTCCCGCTCGCCACGAGTCGGAAGCGAACCTTCTGCAGCAGGGAACGCCCTGTGCTCGGCACTCCTAAAATGCTTCAATGCACACAGCGTGCCCGCGTCTTGTGGAAGAGTTTTTGGATTACTACACATGCTGAGGGGGAAAAACCCTTTGAAAGGAACCATAAAACATGCATTTCAAGAGCTCTTGCTTCCACTCTGAGAAGACGTCTTTAACAGACAAATACAATCACTGAGGAAAAGACATTTTCCTAACTGGGCAATGCTGTGTTTGAGGAGCAGCAACGTGCAATCCTTTTCTTGACGCTTCTGGGTAGAGATGGCAAGAAAGGGTTGGCATATTTTCACTTCTGCTATGGACTATACCCTCTTTATGGGCATTACAAACATACTCACATCTGAAAAGCTTGACCCTCACTGCCGTTACATCTAAGGTAAGCAAGAGCCAGATAATTCAAAAATGTTGCCAGGTAAAGATTTCGGATATATGAGTGAAGAGGGGTTCAGGTAGGAATACAGAGGAGGAAAGGGAGAGAGGAGGGATTTTACACTCAGTTTTCATGCATCCAAACATTGAAGATCAAGGCATG